CGTGAAATTTTTCCCTTCGCGACACATTTGACGTGTGACGCAAGCTCGATGGGGGAGAGAGAGAGAGAGAGAGAGAGAGAGAGAGAGAGAGAGAGAAAGCGAGAAAGAAAAAGAGCAGCCGATTCTAAATTTAATTACGGGACTCGAGGAATCTCCGGCCGCGGGTAAACATGATAATTCGATATAGACAGCCGCGCGACGCATCCACAGCGTAATTCCCGATGTGAGATGCGTTATATACGTCTGGTCGTGTCGTCATACAATGGCGGCATAAGTGATTTTCTTTTCTTCGCCGAGACAATCGGCCGCCCTCGCTCCCTTAAGAAGCAATTTCTCACGTTGTCGAGGCAGCGCCGTGAGCGGTGTCGAGCCACGTCTCCCGGTCGATTTGTACCTTTGTATCTTGACGGTGTCGCGTATATTCAGCGGATACGAAGCGGACGCGGGCGCCCGCTCATTAGCATTCCCGCGGTGTTGTTTTCTTTCCTCGTGTTCTCCCGGAGCGCGCGTTGCGTCCGATCGAGAAACTAATTATCTAACGTCGCACCCTTAGTCTCCGGACCATCCATCCTCGCTCGGTTCGGTCGCGCCCGCGCCCGCCCGCGTCTCGCGCGGCTCACCTTCATCTAGCACTGCCACGATTCGCTAGCGTTCGCATAATACACACGCTCGCCCCGCGTCTACCCTCCTTTGACTTACGCGCGCGTCTTTTCGCGAAAGCGAAAGATCGCGGTGCCGCGGCAGCTTGCGACCCCCTGCGCGCGGATATCTCGAGTACACGGCGGCATCGGCTCGCGCGCGCCAACGCAAACAAAGGGTGGCGAGAGATCGTCCGCTTTTCCTTCGCCGCGTCCCCGTGGCCGTGTTTGCTCTGCCCGTCTCGTGCGACCTTCGACCCGAGTCTCCGGTGAATCATTCGCTCGGTCATTACCTCGGAATAACTCGCGTCGTTGTTATTCGCCTGTGTTTTTCTGTCTCTTTAACACGTTCGCTATCAGGAATCAGTCGGAAAGCCCTCCCTATAGGCTACGTTTTGTAATTCTTTTTCGTTTTTCCCCATCAAGGGGTGCCAAAGTGGACGACGAACTTTAAAAATATTGATTACGTGGGAGGATGACGATCGTCGAGACTTCATGTCAAGTCATCACCCTGCTCTGGATGTGCTACTTTGTTTTACCATATTTAGTGGGAAACATAAGCATGTACAGGGTGTTGTAACATCAACATACAGTATGTCAGTATGACGGATTGCTAGCCCCTATTTGGACAATAATATAGAGGCTGCCGAAAAAGTCACTCGTTGACTTTGTTGATAATGATATTTGGACAGTGCTCCCAGTTATGACAAGTGCAACTAACTTTGTACCATGATAGTTATGACAGTTTATCGATCGGAGTCGAGCTTCATTGAATTAAAGAAGATATTTAAAAAAGTGAAACTGAGAAATAAATATTACGGAATTAAGCAGAATAAATGAAAGTGATAGTTAAAGAGATAAATATTGGTCATAAATGGGAGCACTCACTACAAATATCATTATCAACAAAGTCAACGAGTGACTTTTTCGGTAACCTCTATATTATTATTATCCGAATAGGGGTCAGCAACCCGTCATACTGACCTGATATGTTGATGTTACACCCTGTACATGTAGAAATCCTTTTGCAAGCTTTCCGTATCTATATTTTCGGGCTTGTAAGTTCATTTGGAAACATATAGAAAAATACAAAAATGTTCTCTGAAATTTTCCTGTACGGAGCAAATATACGTTCGGTATGTGGAACAAATTGCAGAATTTTTATATGAGGCAAATATTTATGCTGACAACTCGAGATGTCAATTTTGAGATGTTTTATCGTTTTCGTCGCGTACTGAGCAATGCTCCAGCTTATTTTTGCACTACATGGAAAAAATATCATTTTGCTGTTGAAACTATAGCAATATCAGTTTATTTTCTTTCTTTCTTTTAAGTAATTATCGCCGAGAATATTTTCTTGACAATAGTCTCAAAATATACTCATCAGAAATTTGAGAAAAACTTATCGCCTCATTTATTCAGAAGGATTTATTCTCTTTTCAAGAATCTTATAAAATTTTTATTCTGTGTAAGCAAACCGAATTTTTCCTCCCAATATCTTTTTGATTGAAGATGCCAAACTTATTAGGGTTCAGGATATATTTAAGTTCATTTACGATTAATTTGTGATAAATTTGCAGGTATATAAACTGCTTGTGTAGAAACTTGTGTAGAATTTGTATTTCTGCGCGAGCAATTTTGTCTCGGCAAAGTTTTCAAGTATGGCGTCCCTTAATCGTGCAAAGCAGTCCTCGTTCGTTTGTGCAAATATGGAAAAAAAATTATCGCTGTCGCTATATGTAATATTGGTTTCTCCTGGGAGACCGACGCCTCACATACGTGCGATGCTGATAGCGAACGTGTAAAATTACGTCCGCGTATTCTTCTCGTTGTCGAAAGAGGATGCAGAGAGTTCGCCTGTCCGATTGCATTCGCGAGGTCTGGGCGGGACAAAATTTCGCCAAATAATATCGGAGACATGAGCCTCCCCGTCTTGATACTAATTTCGCAGAGGGCGGGAAGGGAAGGAGAGAAAGAGGGAAGTTTCAGCGTCGTCATTAATCAAGCCTCGAGCTGACGTACTTAAACTCGGTCACTTCGCACTTTCGTGACCTGGCCAAGGCACACCCTGCAATACTTTTGTTATTTCCGCATGGCCTCCCATGGGTGCTCGTATCGTCACAATTCATTAGGAAACACGCTAGCAAATACACTTAGAAAGGAGGAGAGAGTGAGAGAAAATAACTCGTTCCTCCTCCTCGTTCTTTCTGAACAAAAAATTGTTAAGACCATCCTTATAAGGCTGAAAGTAGGATGCCCTAAAAAGAGATGCCTCATTATTACCACATCACTGAGATCGATCTTTTAGGGATATCTTAGATTTTACAAAATTAGGCTTTGATAAGGGAAACTGATAAGGACTTTAGAAGAATCTCTTAGGGGTGCCTTAGATTTTACGAAATAAGGCTTTGATAGGAAAAGCTGAGAAGAGCCTTAGAAGGATTTTTTAAGGATGTTTTATATTTAATAAATAAGATTTTCATAGGGAAAGCTGAAGAGGGCCTTAGAAGGATTTGTTAGAGATGCTTTAGATTTTACGAAATAACGCTTTAACATAGAAAACTGATGTGGGCTTTAGAAGGATCTTTTAAGGACACTTTAGATATACAAAATCAAGTTTTGTTATAGAAAATTAATAAGATCTAAAGCGTGTAATAAAATTGTCAGTTTGGTATTGTTTTAGTAGATACGCTCTATCCGGTTTTTTTAAAGATTTTTTAATTATACTGCAATTAAAAATAAATTTTATTGGTTTCATTAGTTGCCATACTCATTGGTCTCTTCCAAGGATTTTCCTAACATTATCTTTGTTTTAAAATGCAGCAAACTTTAATAAAAACTTTAATAAAGAATGCTATATTTTATTGTAAAATATGCTATATTTTTAAAATAAAAAATTCTTGTTGTATACTAACAAGGTTATAAAGAAATAAAGAAATTATAGCCTACATCTCTTCGAATGAAAGGAACGAATATTTTTATTCAAGCAATAATAAAAATATTTCCTTATAAGATCCTATTAATATTGCCTTATAAGGGCTCATTAAACCATTTATTACACATCCCATTGTGTAAGGCCCTTGTCTTTCTATCCGAACTAGAGTTCAATTAATGTTAGAGAAAAATAATCAGGCCCTTGCCAGAGCCCTATTAATTTTTCTATTCGCATCATTGTCCGGAGAGACAGAAGGCGAGAAGCGGAGAATCGTACTTTGGAATCGGATTACGAGACGAGCCCGGTTAATCGTGTTCGACGAATTTTGATCGAGAACAGGAGCAGCAGACAGGATATCACGCACGTTTCACGTGAGATATATACATAAAATCCCCCCCCCTCCACCTCCGTCCCGTTTGCGTTCTACTGCTCGACTCTCTTAGTATGACCGACGCGATCGTTTTAACAATGTAACGGTCGGTGTTGAATTTATCGAACAAATTTCGCACGACACGCTCCCCTGCTCCACTTCCTCTTTCGGACTTTTAATTGCGCGGAAACTATTCGATTAGTGGGGCACGCTCGCCGTTTGATGGCGTCTGATTACCCTCGTCGGTGTCGATTACCTGTCCGACGTTTTCGAATTTCGAATTATATTGTGCGCGACTATTGTTTCAAACGTTTCGCACGTCGCACGCTCGAAAGCGACTGTTCCGATGACGCCTGGAAGATTACGGAGGATTTCGGGGATCAGTGAGTTCTGTAGTTTACCGGATTCAGCCGCCAAGAGATATCGAATTGTGGCAAAATGTTGGGTTCGCTCGTTTTTAGCTAAGCTTCCTTCGCGCTTGATTCTTCGCCTTTCCTCACTCGAACTGGCTCGTGTGAGGCTCAACAGTTTAATATTCCGAGACCTATCCGCGATCAATTTTAATCGTTCTGCTCCCGAATTTTATAAATCCCGAGGGTCTTTAAATCTGTGTCAAGACTCACCCTCATTCATCCCCCTTGAAGAACCCTGAAGAGCGGGGTAAGTTTGAATGAAATTTCAAATGAGTAAACTTTAGTAGACACGATGACGTCGCTATCGCTCCCGCTGACTTCCCCCGCGTCACCTTTTCGGATTAGGACACGTACGCACTCGACGATTCAGGGAACTCGGTCGAATAAAAAATATCGCCGCGTATCACAGACAAGAGCGGAATTCTCTCGACACTCTTCCGGTGGTTCAGTTATTAAGTTTTACACGATCCGTCCCGTATACATCTGTGTCTTTTCAAACGCTGAAAGTGTCATCGACAAAGACAGGATGGCACGATTCAATTCGTCCGTCTCCTTGAAAGCTCGCTTCGGTGTATTACAGAGCTGCCGCCTCGCACCGATCGATTACGACTAATCGGGCGCTTTCTCGCGCCTTTCTTTTTCAGGAATGGAGGCGCTCATGTCCGAGTTCTTCAACGACACGACTACTGCGTTTTACATAATCCTGATAGTGTGGGTGGCCGATCAATACGACGCCATCTGCTGTCACACACCTCTCACCAAGCGGCATTGGCTAAGGTATGTGAGAGCGCGATTAACTTGCGAAAAAATTAATAACACCGGACCCCTTCGTCCTTTACGCCCGGCTTTCGTGTGCGCGCGCGCGCGCGCGCGCTGCTTGTCGCGGACAATGGTGGGTTTATTTGTGAGAGGATTGCAGGGGGGGGAGAGGGCGGTGTTTCCGGTAGGGAAGAGGATGATCGGAAGAACATTTAATTAAAAAGGATTAAGTTGCACTAAGTAGCGAGCCTTGCGTGTCAGATGTGTCAGCCGACCTGCTTCCGCACAGGCTTAATCCGGCTGCCTTGGCTGGAACTGCTGCGAGCGGAACCATCCGCATCGCCGAGCCTGCCGATATGTTTCGGAGGCTTGCGAATTTATAGCGTTCGTAGCCACAGGGGAAGATAAATCTCAGCTCGCGCAATCGTATAGCGGGTCAGACGAGAGGTATTTCGGCAACGGGAGATGTTTCCGTTTCATTGTGGTGGAAAAAATTTGTCTGAATATTCAGCTGTATTAAAAGCACCGACTCGTGTGCATAGACTGAGACTTTGCGAAAGGCCGCGAAGACTGCATCTGAAAAGGCTGTTCTTTATATCTCGTCTTCAAGCCAGTCGCAAGAAGGTGCAGTTCATGCACGCGAGTCTGTGATTAAAACTCGATGGAGGCAATTTATTCTTCCTGGGCAATAGAAAGTTCAATTATACTAACGAAATTACTTTTCCCGTGTGTGCACGGACGACATTTAACATAATTTAGATCACATGAAGAATCAAGTTGAGAAGTCTCGCTGCTTTAAGTGGGGACTTACATGCGGAAGGCCGTTTTTAAGGCTATTTTTACGAATTTTTTTAACAGAAACGGTAAGATCAATGGACTTGAAATGTTCATAGTGTGTTCATTAATGTTCAAAGTATAAAATAAATTTTATTGAATTACAAGAACCGATCAATCTAATTTATAATTATAGATAAAAATGCAGTCATCCGTTTGCGAGCTCTATGTTTGCTGTCGATATAATTCCGGACCTCTCACTATTCTGAAACCAAAAAATCAGAAAGATTTTTCAAATATACGGTTGCCATTATAGCCCGTATCAAAATGAACGCAGTGAAGCTAAATTTGGAAAAATAACGATTGTACAAAAAAGGTATAGAAAATGAAATTTTTTCTAACTTGTAATCATGTTTAAAAAAAAAATGAATAAGATAAAATATAACTATGTTCGAGGTAGGGGCGAAAATTACATATCTACTATATATTGTGTAAAAATTTCAAGTTCAATAATTTTTCTTGTTCAATAATTTTTGCGTAATCGTGTCGACAGTTTAAGAAAACAGTGTTTCCAGATAAACATGTTTAAAGGTTTAGGTATTTTCCATATAGATAGTAACAAATTTATTTTATACTTGAACATTAACGAATATAGTGTGAAAATTTCAATTCCGTTGATCCTACAGTTTCTGTTAAAAAAATTCGTAAAAACAGCCTTGAAAACGGATTGCTCCACACGTAATTCCCCGCTTAAAGCAAAATATCTCGGGAGACCGAAAGGACGAATTATTCAGAAATGAGCAGGTATAGCGAAGTGTTTTAAAAAATATAAGAAAAATATCAAAAAATATCAAGATACAAAAAGAACATGTACGTCGAGGTACGCCAAGATCTACGTTACTCGTGCTGCGAGAGTCACCTAAAGATTCGCGCCGGTAGACCTTGAAGGTGGGCTTTTAACTTTCTCCGTTGCGAATTGCTCTCGTAAAAAAACTCGGACATCTCGCACAATAGAAGATCCGAAACGCGAGGCAATCTCCTCCCGGGTAACTCATGCACTCTTTGTTATCTCACGACAGCCGTTTCGCGACATTCGGGGTCCGCGGAGGTGTTCGGCTTATAATCTCCTCATTGGCTCCCCTAGCCCTTTGCTCGATCCTTGAAGCATCCCTTGAACGGCTGTAATTAACGACGTTTATATTAATAATCCGCTGAATACACAGCGATGCATACACTCGCGGCGATCATCGACGTATTGTAGCGGTACGATTAGCGTTGAGCTCGATCAATCGGATTTCAGCGTCCTTTCTATACCGGCCGCTGCCCTCCCTGCCCCGTCCCGTCTGTTGATCCGCGGCTATAAACGCACGACGATCGATGTACATTCCGCAAACATCGAACAGCAATTCGCTGATTCAACAATCGAGTTGATCCTCACACAGACGTCAAAGCGAGTCTGAGCTGAGAACTTTGCAATAGAGAGAGAGAGAGAGAGAGAGAGAGAGAGCGAGAGAGCGAGAGAGAGAGAGAGAGAGAGAGAGAGAGAGAGAGAGAGAGAGAGAGAGAGAGAGAGAGAGAGAGAGAGAGAGAGAGAGAGCTTTACGCTCGGAAGCTGTAAGCTTAGATCTCCGGCAAGGACTATGCTGCAACTTCCCTTGGACGAACGAAGGGTTAAAACGGAACATTAGAGCCATTAGGTGACGATTAAACAAAGCTGTCGCTGACGACGGACTCGCGAACTGGTCCAGGAGTTGCGTGGTGATTCCGAGTCGGATGTAGAGACGGCCGACGCCGACGTCGAGCGTCGCCAAGGCAAACGCGGATTACGTTATTATCGCTCCGTTCCTTTATGAGCTGCCCTGAGTCTTAAGCGGACCGTTTTGGAAAGATTCGAAGTGGGGTCGCGCGTTAACGCGAGCGATACGGTCGATACTTTCCCTCACGACGTGTGAGAAAGATGCGGAAGTGCAGTGAATTCGCACGAAAGTTAGGCTGGATGTCCGAATTTGAGACACGATCGCACTTCTTTTTCTTAATAAATCAGCTTTCTTAATAAATCAGCAACAAGGAACATCCGTGAAGTGTGTGTCTCCGATTTCGACGAAATTCGGCATATTTGTAGAGTAGCCAAAAATAGATTCATATTTTTTTTTATCGGCAATGACTCAGGTTTAAGGGGTGGAACTACCTCTCAAAGTTCCATTCCCTTTATGCTATTTCGATAATTATTGCACATAGGAAAAAACTTTTTAAACAAAAATTGCATGGTTTTTATGCCGTACAATTAAATCTTAAACCTAAATTTTATCGTCAATGTTTATATAAATTTTATGTGTTTCCTTCTTACACTGACGGTCATAACAAGCTCCGAATAAAATTAGGAAATTGAATGTTAAATGCTGGAACGTCATAATTATTACTGCTAAGGACGGCAGTTCGAACAGTTACTCCGTTTTTAGAAATTGATGGTTAATTTCGGATGTTTATTTATTAGATCTATAATTATATATTCTTTGATTCTTCTAAAACTGTTATTCGAGAAAAATGTTGGCTTCTATGAGACAGAGATTAATTTACACCGATCATGTTGGATATTTTCGCTTTTTAGAGGGTAGTTTTCCTCGCGCCGATAAATCTTTAACGCTTCGCGAGATTCTACTTGGCGGAACGAGGAATTTGCACGCTTGATATGTCCCCGATTTGTATCGAGCTCTGCGAGGATCGGCGACGACGGTACACCCGGCCGAGTCTGCAGTCGGATTGGAGATTGGAAACGGATCATTAGAACTGGCATTAGCAACAATTAAATAGATCTGACGCCGGTAATGGTATTCGAGTCCCCCGAGCAGCCGAAGTACACGTCGCGCGTCGCACCGTATCGCAGTCTTCTGATACGGGATTTACACTGAGGCGTAATTAGGATCAATTCTAATCTATCGCGTGAGCGAGACGGCGTCCCGGGTAGGAGGAGTAATCGAGATCGTTATCGAGAACGCCGCGTGTCTGCAAGACAAATCGAATTGTTTCGCGAAACACGTGACACCCTCTCGCGCAATGAAACGGATCGTGACGTTGCGCACAAGCATCCTCCGCGCCTTCCATCGAACAGATTTCGATGAGCACAAAACAGCCGGGGCTCGGTCGCGAACGATCACGTAGGAAAATATAAGCAGTGAAACTGCGACTCGACCGCGCTCACACCGCGGAGAAATTTTCGCGGACATGCATCGTCTCGAAAAGTCAAAGTCTACAGGAGACCTCTCTGCTTTTCTTTTTACTAAATATTTTTTTTTATTATCTACCAGCAAATTCATAATCTGTCTAATGATATTAAGTAAATCAAATAATCAGTAAGTAGGTAAATTCCTTGTAGAATTTACCCTATATGTAAATACAATTTTACTTGAATTGTTTTCTAACTACTGAAGTTACTAAATATTAGTAAAATATTTATTTGTTCTAATGTATATTATATGCATATTATATACATATCTCTTTATTCCCTAAAATTACCCCTCCCTTATTTACTAAATTTTTTTTTCAAATAAAGAAATATTTATATTTCTTTAAAATTTCACGGAGGAGCAGTTGTATGTTACATTTATAAATAAAAGAATTCATATTTCAAATATGTTACAATATTAATATCGATTGATCAAGCGCTTATTATTTCTTAAATATGTTTTCTCGCAAAATTTGAGTTCATTTTTGCATGAACATCTTGGCGGTTGTCGAAAATCGACTTTTTTTATTCTTCGTATATTTTTCTGCGTGTCATTGACTTGCTCGAGCGTAAGATAACATTGTCACGGGACAAAGTCACGGGCGAGACGCTGATAAGATATCGCTGCTTTTCGAGAATTCGTCGAGAAAAGTGCCGAGCGTGCCGCATTTCATTCGGGATATGACGATGTCGCGAGCGGCTTTCAGCTTTTCTCGCAGTTTGCCTTCGCACTCGATTAATCTCTCCTCGTGTGTCTCGAACGCTGTCGCGTAATTGCATATCGGAATTTCCGTATATGGGGCATTCTGCGTTAAGCGTGTTTCTCGTGGATTAAGTGCGGGTTACGCTCGGTGCGCATCGCGACGCCGGTGAACACTATCCGTCGACTATTTTCACGGGTCATCCGGTTTTAATTAGAAATCCGACTTCCGTTTACACGCGGTTTGTCCGATACTCCGTATTTAGCTCCTGCTACGATTCCTCCGCCGTCGCCCGTAAACCAAAACCTCCACGCGGACGA